GCATGGGTCTACTTGATTTTGAAAATTAAAGCAAAGCGCACAATAAACTGTTGGAAATAACCGTCTTGAAACGATGCTTAGATACCATCCAGAAAGTACGTCCATCATTCGCCGTTGCCGTTACGAACCAGCCGAGCTTCCCGAGCTTTCATGACGCCTGGTAGGTAGGCAAAATCTGACCTGCAGTGCATTCGTGTACTACGGGCTGGCCTACCCTGAGTCTCGCAGGCGCCCCGCTTCCGTGATTTGCCGATTAAATCTCAGAAAAACTGATGTACTTGGGGTGTTTTTCCTTTGGGTGTTTTTTTACCAGCATGTTTCTGTTACGCATATTTTATAACGTGCAATTATGTATGATTAGAGCTCAATTTGTTGTTCAGTCTGCTTGGAAACCAAACAATACTTTTACCCTGCTGAACCCAAAGTAGACTGTCGGCCGCTCTTTTCCTCGCTTCTGGATGGACTTTCGCGTTGCAACTCGATACCTTTGCAGAAAGGTTATACCGACGGGACGGGATAAGGGTGCGCTGGGTGGGGTGGGGCGGGGGCCGGGCTATATGGCAGTGACGGCAGAAAAGCCGATCAAAGGGTGATCGTCGCCTCTTTCAGCCAGCCGTGCGGGGCTGCGGGGCGGGGAGACCTGTTTCGAGGGGAGGTCGGGTGCGCTGGAGGGTTGCGGGTATTCGTAAGGCTGCAGTCTCTCGCCCGCCCTGCACGCTCCGCTCGGCGCCAACTCGGTGCCACACGGCGTGACCGCGCCACCTCTCAACAGGTTGAGCGCTGCAGCCCCGCGCTGCCCCGCGCTGCCCCGCGCTGCCCCGCGACGCTTCTCGCCGGAACGGCCTCCCGCGCCGTTGTGCGGCCGAGCTGCTAAGCGGGGCTCGAAAACTGAATAAACATCACCGACTGTTAAATTCTCAACCGTTCCCTTTGTGTTTTAACATCGCGCTTATTCGTGACTCTATTTGCAAGATCCAAACAACTTACTAGTCAACGAAATGATTGCGAGGTGGTTTGCGAACCGGCCCCTAATAATAAGACGTCCCTTCCCGGCAGTGCCGCCCACGGCCGGAGGCACGGCCTGTTTAACTTGAAGTCGTTTTCAATCAGCCGTGGAGGAGAGGCCGAGAGCGACACAAGTAGGCCTCTGGGGGGGCGGGCGGGTGAGCACGAAGACTAGAAGCTAGCTGTGCTCCGCGAGAGAGTGGGACGCCGAGGGGCGAGAGGGGACAGGGGGCTGATGAAGGACGAGGGAGGAGACGGTGCGTTGCGGAGGGGGAAGGGGGCGGGGACAAAGGAATCGAATCAGTCAGTACACTGCTGCTGCTGCTGGATGGCGATGAAACTTTCAGCGTCCCCACCGCGCGACGCCCCCGCTGTCTCCGGCGAGACCTGGGCGTGGCGGGGCGGGGTGGGGGCGGGTCGCCTGCCGGCCGGGAAATGAGAAATTATTGAAAATAAGATATCCGACTGGAGCGAGAGAGGCAGACTGGGCCGTGCACAAGAGGATGTGTGTGGAGGAGGGAGAGGGAGAGAAAGAGGGAGAGAAAGAGAGAGAGGCGATGCGGGGGCAACGCAGGAAAGGCATTTGAAAAGTACGAAGTGAAAGCAGGGAAGGCTGACGCTGCCGCTGCCGCTGCCGCTTCGGCCGCTCCGCGAAAACGCCCATTGTTCATTCAAACAAATTCGATTAATTACGCATATTTTTGTTTTACGCAATCTCATTCATTACTATAGTATACTGGACAGCATTTTACGGGCCCCGTATGCGCCCACGTCACGCTTTCTTCTTCGAGTATATCCCCTAATCGTTACCGAATCTCAAAATATGCTTGAACGATTTAACGAAATGAAATTTCTGAGTGAAAAGGACGACCCTGTCTCGCTTTCAAGTAGTAGTCCCTCCTCCCTCCATTCCTCTTTCACTCGAAGTGCAGACGAGAAAGGGGTGCTCCTCCATCCTTTCCCTTCCCCACTCCCCCACCCACTTTTTACCAATCGCATAGAGGATGCTTTGGCTGCCTGGTATGAAATTGACGGCTCTAAGGGCTGCCTAAGGCCTAAGGGCCTCCGGGCCGCCGAGCCGAGCGCTAGAGCGTGGCGTGGAGCGGTAGGCTGGAGCGAGGCAGGGCGGGGCGGGATCGGCACGGAGTTATCGGGATAAAAGCGCCTCTCACATCTCCGATCAGTTGAGGTCGCCCTGCCTCCTAGTAGCCCTGCCGCGCGCACAGCTGTGCTGGCTGCCCGTTGGTGGGCGGCCCGTGTGCGGGCATGGGCGCCCTGTGGGTTGGCAGTTGCGTTTTGAGGTGCGTTTCGTATGTACAAATTGTAACCAAGACCGATGGATGTCTTCACGCCTCACCGGCTGCCTAGCGCCGCAACCCCTCACCGTGGGGACGATTGCCGAAGGTAAAGCTGTTTCGGATCGCAGACCTGCTGCTGATAACGAAGGGGCAGCAGCAAAGTTCCCTGTATTACGGCGACGGTCCCGACGCCTAATTTTCCATTCCCTTGGCGGGGGGCGCCTGCGGAGCCCGGGTAGGCCACCCCGCCGTACGCCCACGCGCTGCGGGCACGCCCTCCCCACAGGGGCTTGTTCACGGTGAATGATAAATTTTGTTCCGTTTCGAAACTTGCCTCCGACTTAATACCAACCCAACCAAGTCAAAAGAGAGTATTTCTTTTAAAAATTCAATTCTCTCCCTTCCTTATTTTTATTTTATTTTAGCGAGAGAAAGCGAGAGCGAGAGCGCGCTCTCCCTTCAATCGTGGCTCAAGCAGATCGCTTCACGCTGTCTAGTGTTCTGCGGGCTGGGCGGGGGCGGGAACGGGGGACTGTTAGGAGACAAAGTCCATCCATAATTCATTATACCAGAGCCCTTTCTGCGCCGGGCCGGGGCCGCGGGTGCCGGGCGCCCTCCATGTGAATGAATACATATTGAATGACCCCCTCCGGGCCGCGGGCCTCGCAGCCTCAAGATGAATGTATCGCGCGATGGCGGCGGAAAACACCACCGAGCCGCCCCGCCGGCCCCGCCCCGCCCCGATGTATAATTTATCCTCCAACGGGATCCTGTAATGCGACTGATGTACGGCGGTCCTGGAGGGGAGGGGGCGGGGGAGATTGCAGTCGGGGTGCGGGCCGGTGCACGGGGGGCAGGCCGGGCCGGGCCGAGGTGAAGGTCGCACGGCGGAGTGCAGGCTGCCGCTAGCTAGCTACCGCCGCCGCGCTGCGAGCGGGTGGGGCGGGATCGACTGGAGCGGAGCGGGCGGGAGCTGCTGGCGGGCGGGCGGACGGCGGCGGGGAAGTTGCTGCCTGATCGGATTTGGACAGTCCGCATCGGCCGGGTCGGCGGCGCCCTCCCCTCGGTGCTCGTCGCGCTCTGCCATCGTCCCTCCCAGCCGTCCCTCCCATCACCATCACTCCTCGTCAACGCCCTGCTCCCATCCATCTCCTTGTCTGCTACCCAGTTCGTTTTTCACCCCTTTCTTGTCCAATGTCGTCAAGGCCTATTTCTATATATTATTATCAGCATTATTACTATTAAGGAAGGCTGCAAATAGAAAGGGATGTCCCAGTCTGCGGTGGGTCGGGTTGACTCGGTTGACTACTTGTGCACGAGGCGGGGAAGCCGAAAGAGGGGGAGGTGGGGGAGGGAGGTCGGCGTACAACTTGCCGGGTCATGGCTTTCAGATGAGCTCCTAATTTCCGCTATTTGGCCTCTGCCTGACTTCAGCACCAGAGTTGAGGAGATGACGGGAATGGAAAGAGGAAGGGGGGATGAGGATGGAGATAGGGAGTAGGGGCTTCTCTTGTCGCGGCGAAGACCAGTCGGAGTAATGGGGTGGCAACTGGCAACCGCCCGCGGGTTGTGATTGTGCAGTCGAAGATGGGGGTTCGAGAAGATGAGTGACCAACCAAACACAGCAAATAGAAATACGATTTGAAGCTTGTGAACGGCCCCTCTCACGTGGGGGTAGAGTGTGTGTGTGTGGAGGCCACGGGGGAATATACTTTTGTCGGTCATCAAACTTTGGCTGATAAGCTAAAAGTCGGTCGCTGCAATCGGAAATCTAATGCCTCTGGCTGTAGGTATCGGATTTTCAATTTCACCAAGTCGACCGTAGCCTATCGAACATAAAGTTTGATCACCAAAAACAGCGTCTTTTATTTTCCGCTGGTCGGTGTAACGGGGACACTGGGAAATGCAATGTGTGCGGCCAGGGCGAGGGGCGGGCGGAACGCCCGGGGCGGGGCACGCAGCGGCAGTCGGACCACAGCCACTGGAAGGCGTGAGTCCACGCGGGAGTGCACAGGAACAGGCGTCGGGAGGGTTGTAAGACAAGCGAGCAATATCCCCCTAGAGAAAGAGAGAGGGGGAGGAGGGGAGCGCTGGGAGCGGCTGGCGAGGCGACAAGGGCCCACCGACCCGCAACCCGCACCAGCAGCGAAACTACTACAGCAGGAAGGCGCGGGAGATGAAACCACCCCATCCCCTTTCACCCGCCCCTACACTTACACACACACGCGCCTTGTGAGAATGACACACACGCACGCGCGACATAGAACCCACTCACGGCAAGAGGACCAGGTTTCACACTTGGAGTGGAAATTTGATCTTTGCTGGTTCCGGAGACCCAACATATATTGCCACCTCACCCCCACCTCTTTCTCGCCCTCTCCATCAGATCTGGTTCATTTGTGCGGCTGAGCAGGGGGGGCATCCCAGAAGGAGCATACTTGTATTCATGAACCTCGAGCTCGACCTCGAGTGCTACTGCAACTTTCTTGTTATTGTAACGCCCGTACTCAGCACAAAAGAAACGTGCACCTACCACTTTTATCCGCGCTGTTCTCTTTCTGTCCAGCGAAATACATCTGCCGCTGCGCGGGCCCGTTTGAGTCATTTTACGGCAAAGTCAAAGTCCCAAGCACTACGATAGGTTTTCAACGCCATATTTTATACTCTAATTTTGGTCGTTTGTTGTTTTGCTTGCAGAATCTGCTGGGTGACTTCAATAAGGAGCAGGAGGCGTTCATCAAGGACAAGAACAGCAAGGGCTCGGAGGCAGCGGTACCGCCGTGGGTGGGCTGCCCCAACGAGGAGAGCCTCAAGGAGGAGTGTCTGTCCCTCTCCACGGTCAGAACCTCAAACACGAACAAAGTAAAGTAGTATGAAAACCGGGCGCAAGGATTTTCCATAAAGTTCTTCTTACCTCACAGGATCGACGGAACTTCGTGCGCAGTCCACCTGCTGGAGTGGAGTTTAACTTTGACTATGATGTGACATTCCCTGTGGCCCAGGCTATCTTAGCAGAAGACCCAAATCTTGAGAAGATGAGATTTGAACTGGTGCCTAAAATGTAAGTATAGGCGCCGTAGCTTTGAAGGCAATGAAATAATACTGAAGGGTTAAATGGAAATTCTTTTACTGGAGTGCTTAAAGGAAACTCTTGTTCAAAGGCTATTTGATGAGGATTAAGACAGTGCCACTCTTGATCTTGTAAAGCATGAATCAAGCCTTAATTTAGCATCTGTTTTTTTGTGTGTTTAGCATCACAGAAGAAAACTTCTGGCGTAACTACTTCTACCGAGTTAGCCTTATCTGTCAAGCAAACGAATTGTCATCGATGGCCAAAGAGGGAGGTGCAGCTGCATCAGCCTCACGTACTAGCAGCACAGACGCTGAACCTGCAGGTCAGTTCTTCATTCAAAAGTACCTTCCTAGAGCATGTTAGACGTTTTTAGAGTAGATTTCTCAACTCTAAATCAAACTATTGGTATGAAGATGTGAATCTGATCATCTCGTAGAGCTTCTTCCTCTATAAAATTTTACTTATTATTTTTTTAAGCACCAGTTTTATAAAATTAAGAATTTAGAATAACTTTAATTTTTAGTGTATTTTAAACCACAAAGTATAGGATAGCTTGCAGTAGTAAAGTAAGACCAGAAGTGTTGTACGTGTAGTAATACCTGTGTAGTATTTGGCAAATTTTAAAACTTTTCTACCATTAAATATACTGAGCTTATCTGCATAGTTAAAACTTTGAAACTAATTTGATTGCTTGTTGTATTAGCTGCACCGTCTGCACAAACCGAGGAGCCTGTATGCTACCTGCCAGAATCTGCCTCTGCAAATGCTGAGAGTCCCACACATGAGTTTGTGTCAGATACTTTTGCAGCAAGCACACAAGATCTCGAGGAAGTTCGGGAAGGCATGCGTAAACTGGGCTTAGAGCCTCTGCCTAAAGGTAAGTTCTTACAAAATGATGTGAAGTCTCGATCGATCAATATTAAATTTTAATAAACGTAAGATTTCATACTCCACTACACAGTGCAGAAAGTTTCAAGAAATTGAAATTAAACATACTGGAAATCGATTTTATTTACCTGTGTATCAGTAATTGTTTTTGTAGTTTTCATATTTGGTAAAAGAGACTTTGCATTCTTCACACCCTACTCCACTGCTTTGTGTCTTGCTGCTTTTGAAATGTTTGATCTCTTGCTATTATGTGTATTTTGAATGTGTTGCATACATTTCACTGTTGTGAATCTATTAGAGACTGTCTAATTTTTGAACACCAACGTGCATAGTTCTTCTAGTGCTGATAGGTGCATTTTGGTAGTTGTGATAAACAACTGTAGATTATGTGCCGCTGAAAACAAAAGTAACATTTTTTCAAATATATTATTATTGCCTGATTCCTAATTTTGATTAGGTTCCAAAGCAATCGAAATGAAGTTGCTACTTTTTTCCCTTTTATGTACTATGAGTAATAGTATCCTCTTTCCCTTTGCATTTATCTTGAGAGAAAGCATGAATCTTAAAAAGTGTGCCTCTTTTTTTTCTCTTTAGAAACAAAATATATAAGGCAAAATATCTTTGAAATAATGTATGATAATAAACCTGAACAAATCAATGACATTCGGATGGAGCCAAATTATTCAAGTGCCAAAGATACTTTTAACAAACATTTTGGTATTGTTATCTTAATGAATAAGTAAATATTGATTTGAGAAGGCCGCTGGAAGTCCAAAGCGAATCTTTTGCACTTGAACTCAGCTCACAACTTCACTCACTGAAAGATCTTCTTTCTGTTTCTCTCTTTCGCAGCTTAAAAGAAGATAGGATGAGTGGGGCTATGATCACATGAGTTTCAAAACTTCTGAATTTTTCCTGAACCTTTCCCACTGCCTTTCCCAAATTTTGATTTACAACTTTACTTTAGGCATGTCTTACCTTTTTTTCTCCCTGTTGATTTCTTATCATCTACACATCTTTCCTTTTCCTCTTCCCAAAGTCCCATTATTTTCCCTTTTTATTTTTATTTCATTGCCTGCTAATTTGAGCATGTTCTAAGCACTATTCACGTCTATCAGAAGTGCATTTTCGGAACAGTAATTGTATGCAACTACATTCTATTCATTCACTCAGTGCATGTGTACCTAGAGAACAAAACCTATGTGCTTATTCAGTATTGTCAGCAAGTCACACAGAGTGTGTGCCAGCATTGGTGCAACCTATTTAACTACCATACGTTCTGTTTATAAACTTATTGAACGATAAACAACCCACATCTTAATCTATGATTGATTTCCTTTCTTACTATTTGGTGCAGATCCTTTGCATTGTGTCAGGTTTTCCCTTTTAATAGCTATTTCAACTACATACCTCTGCACCATGGTAGAGTATTGAGATCTCCATAAAAAATGTAATTTTGATTAAGAGCTGCATGATTAGTACTGCTCTGAAATTAAACTTGGCATTCAAAGCTATGTGGTTAGTTTTATCATGGAAAATTATGGATCCTATATGCTTTAATCTGCTGTAAAGAAATGCCATGAGTGACAATACAATACGCACTACAAATTTTATTGATTTTTTAGTGGTGTGTACAGTTTTAAATAT